TCATGCCAGCGATGAAGACGGAGGAGGGGACCACGTCCAAAATCCAAATCTTTGCTTAAAAACAAGCGGAAGCAGGCAAAGAGGCAAACTCTGTAAAACTGTCAGTGACAGGATGAACGGGATCAGCCTGAGGAGCCTGACAGGTGAGCTCGGTGTGTGTGTGGTAATTGGCAGATAGGGAGCAGGTGTGGAATAAAACAGTGAGACTAATGAGGGCAGCACAGGCGGTCTGAGGGGGAATAACAAAGGAAGTAAAAGCAACACAAGATGATTAGAAAACAGGAAATAACTCTGTGCAGTGACCGAAAGATTGAAATCACTGATGCAAGCAGCTGATGGGCCTCTGCGATGGACTCGGAGCCACAGCTCCATCCAGAGGGGACGGGAGAGGTTAGGATGCTGAGGCGAGACAGAGGAGGCCGCGAAGCAGAACTCAGGTGGACGGCGATGCTCGAACCAAAACATCACAGCAGTCCAAACTTTGAGACTGAACGTCGCTGCCCGTACCTCTGGCTCAGCTTTCTCTACATTCAGTGAAATGACGGCAGTTTTTCAAAGTTGTGTGATTATCGTCGATGCAGTGATACAGACTGAAGACGTTGATGAGTTTGTTGGTAGAAGCTCGTCGGCCTCTCAGCACATCTGAATAAACGGTGATGAAGTTTGAGAGAAAAAGAACAAAAGTATCTAAAAAACATCAATAAATACACAAAGACGATGAAGACGATGAAGGCTGGTGCACACACGTAATCAGACCTGTCAGAGACACACACACAGTCGTCTGCGGTCTCTCACACTGACGTTTCCTCTCAGCGAGCATCGGTTTATCGATCGCGGCGCTCTCTGGACGTTCTGCAGCTCTCGTGTTTTCTTGTGAGAATCTGCAGGAAATCAAATCAGCGCAGGTCAGGGAAGCATGGCGTGGAGTCCCGCCGACCTCCGGCTGCAAACAGCCTGCAGCCTTTACAGCCGACAGTCCGCCGAGTGCATCGGGCTGTCAGGTCGATGTCACTGCAAACAGATTTAAGTACCTCAGTTTCACTTCTGATAAACGCCGTGTTTGTTCAGATGCTTCGTGTAGAAAAGGTGTCATCGTGGAAATCAAACTTCCATCCCCGCTCTCGTTAACGCCGCGCCGTTTTGACGTTTAGAGACCCCTGAGATGTGAGAGCGCTCCCGGAGTAACCGGCCCTAAAGCTGGATTTTATGGCCGAATGCTAGAAAATAACGATGTAGTTCGACCACAGAGGGAAGCAAATCTGTTTATGGCTGCAAACAGCCGCACTCGAAGGTGGAGCTCAGAAGCTCGCCATAAAAGCAAAGGGAGCCATGACAGGGAATAAAGCAGAGGAAGTATTTATGTAGGAAATGAAAACTCCTCACAGATCGGGAAGTTTCAGTGGAAATTCCTCCTAAAGAGTTTCTGTCCCCACTGAACATCTGAGAAGCTTTTCTGATGATGTTCATCTTCACAGCCAAACATGGACGCCACACCGGCGTGCAGCCGCGCGCTCTGAAATAAACGTGTTCAAAACGTGACGTCTGATTTATTTCCAGAGTTTCAAAAGAGGAGCTTTTATTTGGACACCTTTTATTTTGAAAGATTCATTGTATTTACTCATACCACTTCCTGCTGTGCAGCACGACTTGTGTCGATCGGCTCCGGCTGTGTCAGAGCTGGAACGCCGTATTCCCGGGATGATGCTACACTAAGACAGGACGCGGTGATCCGGTGGATGTGAAGGGACTCCACACGTCTCTAGTGGACACTCCAGCCTCTGGCTGCTTAAGTAACCCTCTGATGTGTCATCAGTATCCTACACTCTCATTGGTCACTTCAGTCGCTCCTGAAGTTTAGAAAACACGTCTCTGTTCGTCACTTTCCTCGTGGTGCTTCCTGAAGAGACCAAAGCTGGATGGACTGCACGTCTTCCAGATGTTTGATAGGACACCATCCAGTCCAACATCTGGACGCTGGGTGGTTTTGGGGTCATTTTGAGACCAGAGTTTGGATCTGAAACCGAGCTGATGGAGGCTTTATTACTTCATGATACACTGTAACCCTGGAGACGAGGTGTCCTGCCTGTTTGCTCAGAGGGTCGTGGGCTCAGGCCTGTGGAGGGACGATCTGAGTCTCCACAGCTGTCCTGTCGGGTGCTCAGGACTCTGGACCTGCTGGTCTCTGATGTTGAGGTTCTTCTGTTGTTGCTGTTTGCTCTCAGCGCGCTGCCTGGAGGTTTGTCATGTGCACTAATTTGTCTTTTTTATTTGTTTGTTTGTCGTCGCTCGTCTGCAGGTCCCTCCTGTGCTGCTGTTCAGGTTTCAGAAAGTCCTCCGAGCTTTCACCGTCTCAGCTGCACAAACGTTTCTGTTTACTGCTCAGTGCCGCTGTCGTTTCCTGCAGACGCGATGAATGAAACTAAACTCTGTGTGTGTGTGTGTTACAGAAACTATGCACTACGGCGTGTCCGCGATGCCTTCAAGGCCAACAGAAATGTAGAGGATCCAAAGGCTGTGGAGAGACTGATGGAGGAGGGATGGCAGACTCTGGCCCTGATACAGAGACAGGTGTGACACACACACACACACATGTTTGTACCGCTGTTGTTGTGAGGACCTCCACACTGACACTAAAACACCGGGTGAAATGAAAAGTTGAGAAGAGGAAGTGAGGTCATCGAGCAGGTTTCCCTCCTCGGTGTTTGTTCAGCTTGGTCCAGCTCTGAGGATGAACCGAGCTGATAGAAGTTGGGGAATCATTTTTGTTAAAAATGAAGTTATAACAGCAGTGGGAGAGTTTGTAACTCAATATAATAAAAACTGCCTGGAACAAAATTAAACTGAAATCAAAATAAATACAGTAAGAAAAATAATTACAGGTCAAAATATGAAGTAATAATGAAGTGTATGAAGAGGAGGATCAGAGGATGGTGATGAAGAGGAGGATCAGAGGATGGTGATGAAGAGGAGGATCAGAGGATGGCGTCACCGCAGCAGGTTTACCTGCTCTGTTACATGATGATGGTTTTCTTCCTCTCTGAAGTTTCAGAGCTGTGAGCAGGTGCTGACATGAACCCAGTGTGAGGCAGATTGTCCTCAATGTCATCATGAAGTTGATGCATTCTTGGAATAACGAGCCGAACGCGATAATATTGATCAGTGATCAGCTCCACCCTGCACCATCACTCTGTCCTCACACTCTCAGGCTAACCAGGTTAACTAGAATGCAGATGAACACCTGCTTACCGACTCACCACCTGTCTCACACACACACACACACACACACACTACCTTGGCAGGGCTAATCACCTCACTGTTGGTCACTTTGTTCCCTTAATGCATCAGCAGCCTCTCGGCCAATCCCCATGGATGACTGAGCATCTCCCAGTCTGCCTCTCTCTCTCACACACTCACACACACACACACACACATGTGTTCACACATTCTGAAGACGGGGACGTGTGTTGTTGCTGCTCTCGCTCATCGTCAGCAGTTGGTTAAACAAGTTGTTCATACCTGTGATTTTTAGCTGCTACCTAAGGCTAACTGGCGCTGACAGGTGGAGCACCTCCCTCTAAGTATTACCGCTAACAGACGTGCTAACAGATGTGCTAACAGACATGCTAACAGACGTGCTAACAGACGTGCTAACAGACGTGCTAACAGATGTGCTAACAGACATGCTAACAGACGTGCTAACAGATGTGCTAACAGACGTGCTAACAGACGTGCTAACAGACATGCTAACAGATGTGCTAACGGCGAGTATCTGGATGTAGAATTTACTGCAAAGACGGTAAAAAACACAACGCCAGGGCTGAAGTTTGTTTGAAGGCCAGCAGGGGGCGATAGACTT